TATCACACTGTACCCAATATGTGTTACGATTATTATGTATAATTATTTTGTCAATTGAAAGGTTAAAACAGGGCTGGGGATGTGGCTCAAGCTGTAGCGTGCTCGCCTGACATGCGTGCAGCCCGGGTTCGATCCTCAGCACCACGTACAAACAAAGATGTTGTGTCTGCTTATAACTAAAAAATAAATGTTAAAATTCTCTCTCTCTCTTTAAAAAAATTATTTTTTTAAAAAAAAGGTTAAAACAAAATCTTACAGATATCTAAAAATAGTAAATTTCCCATGTCACGAAATATTATTGAGCCCTCTCGCTCTCTCTTGCTCTCTCTCTCTCTTTGTTACAACTATTTAAAAATATGAAAACTGGGGCTGGGAATGTAGTCCAGTCATAGAGCACTTGCCTAGCATGCACAAGGCCCTAGGTTCCATCTCCAGCAGAAAGGAAAAAAAGAGTTAAAAACTATTCACAGATCACAGATGGCACAAAGACAGGTAGCAGACGGTGGGGTTTGATGCCTGATATAACACAAAAGAGATGGAAACGTCAGTTGCCTTTTTAGGATCCCAGTCTCCATTAACTGGGTTGCCAGGGCATGGAAGTTCCTATGGATTTCTCCAGAAATCAAATTACATGGAGAATGTGGCACACCCATGGGTATTTTCTGGGCAAATCCTCAAAGGGCTGGTGGTGGTGGTTAGATCTGGTGCCTGAGGGTGGGAAGAAGGTTGGGTTCTGGGAGGCCCGGGGCCTAAGGCCCAGGCTGAGCACTAACCAAGATCATCCGCGAGTCTCTGGCCGTCCTCAGTAGGCACCACACGCTCATCCTCCAAGTCACACTTGTTCCCTACGAGGATGACCTGGGCATTGTCCCAGGAGTAGGTCTTGATCTGCGTGGCCCTGTGGAGGTAGGCCATGAGCTGGGCTTAGGGATGGCAGGGAAAGGACAAAGGTCAAGGGGTCAGGGGTCAGCAGCACTCACCAGTCCTGCACGGCAGCAAAGGACTCCTGGTTGGAAATGTCATACATGAGCAGGAAGCCCATGGCGCCACGGTAGTAGGCGGTGGTAATCGTGCGGTAGCGCTCCTGGCCTGCTGTGTCCTAAGCAAACAGCAGCGTCAGGTGGCGAGAAGCCACCCTGTCCCCACCCAAACCTTGCAGGACTCTGTTGGAAGGGGACGCTGCCCAGTGCTCCTCACAGTCCCAATCATGGGGGAGACATGAACTCATTCTCAGCCACGCCTGGCCCTGCCTGCAGGGGTTCCCAGTCTGAGGGGTCATCTACTTTTCATGGAATTAAGAACACCTTTGACCTCTCTTCCAAGAGCCACCCGGGTCAGAGGGTGTCCTCCTGACAGGACACCTTGGTGCACTTGAAACCACGATGATCTGGACCAACAGCTGGTTCGGGGCCAGGGGCGTGGCTCTGAAGACAGTGGGGGTTCCCTGGCTGGACCCTCAGAGGGCTCCCAACCACTTCCTCACTGTCGCCAGCACTTCAAACAGGCCCAGCTGAGTACCATCTCCCCTCTCAGGCCCCCCCGCAGGCCCCCCAGGCCAGCCTCACCCTGACAAGGACACCCCAGAGGTACCCCCTCCCTCACAACTCTGGGCCACTCTCCCTGCCCCGAGGAACCCTCTAATGAACAGCGCTGAAGGGACTGTCCCCCTTGCCACAGACCCACAGAGCTGCCTGGCTCACCCAAATCTGCAGCTTGATCCTCTTGTCGTGGCGGTAGACGGTCTTGACCTTGAAGTCGATGCCCACGGTGCTGACGAAGGCGGGCGTGAAGGAGTCGTCGGCATACCGGAACAGGAAGGACGTCTTGCCCACGCTGCTGTTGCCGATGAGCAGCAGCTTGAACATGTAGTCAAAGTTCTGGTCTGCAGCGTCCCGAGGGGCCGCCGGGGGGTCTCCCGCTGAGGCCATCTTGGCAGGAGCCTGCTGGGGACCAGGCCTGGAGTCCTCGGTGGGAAAGCGAGTCCTACAGGGGAATCAGACACCAATGACAGCTCCGGCGCATCCACCTGGCTTGGCTGGAGCCCAGCTGTGCCGGAGGCCCAGAGCCCGGAGGCATCACCTCTGACTCCACCTCATCATCCTTTGCTGAAAAATGGGGTTTGGTTATAGCCCTATCTGAAAGGGTGGGTACCAGGAGCCTAAAGTGAGTTTCTTGAGTCCTTTAGGGCTTACTGAGACGGCCTCTGCCCAGCCTGGGAGTAGAACTAGGCCTGTTAATCCAGGGCACAGCTGTGACAAAGAGGGAGAAGCTCGCCCTGGAGGCTGCCACGTGCAGCGGGAGGCTCTTAAGACACCCAATGGTTATCAAACAGTGCCCAGCATACAGTTGGTGCTCAATAAATGCCATTGCTGTTTAATCTTCATACAAAGGAAAAAATTGAGCCTTTGTTACAGTGGGTTTGGGGGCTCCTGTCTTGAGGCCCCTAGGCTTGGCTAAGGGTTCAGACACCCCGCACTGCATGGGGGGATGCCTCCTCTGGCCCCTGAGGACGACGTGGGCAGAAGCTGCAGGTGTGGACTTTGCCCCAGAGTGAGCAGCTGGGAGGCCCAGGTGTTAGCTGGGAGGGGGGAGCCTGCCAGCAAGACAGACAACCCCCCCACTGCAGGGCCTGGGTGTTGACTTTGGCAGGTGTCCACCACTAGGGTGGCTGTTCTACTCACTACCCAAACCCAATTCACTGTCTCCCTGACTCCCAGGGTGAGGGGCGTTTCTGTGGACACATCAGGAATTTAAAGCCCCAGCTCTACTCCCAAGTGGGGACCTGCCATTTTCTATTTGTCAAAGGGGCTGAGCCTGTCTGCCTCTGGCCAAGGCTGACTCACCCCAGCCTCAGCCCCAATCCACCCAGGCAGGTGTGAGAGTCCGCAAATCCCAGTCATCCCAGCCACATGATTATAACAAACCCTACCTCCAGGACCACCACCTGCTCCCTTGCTCCTTCCTCTCCAGGCACTCGACCCCAGGAGCCTGATGGGCCCACAGTCTGCCACGGGTCCTCCAGGTCCTGGATGCACCTGCAACCCTCCTTTCCTCCCCGGCCTCAGTTTCCCCAGCACAAGAAGGCCTGCATGAGTGGGAGGCACGCAGGCGCGGGGAGCCTGGGTTAAGCTATTTCTCAACCACCTTGGAGGCTGCGGTTCATTTTCAGTGCGGACCAAGCCGGGCCCCACCCCGTGTTCCGGGAGAACGAGTTTGAGGAGGGGCAGAGAAGCACGCTGGGCCGGGCTGCCAGCCTAGGGCCCCCGCCCCACTCCGCCTCTGTCGGTCACCGGTCACCGGTCCCACCTCTGCCTGACCATCTGCCGACCCTCCCTCACGCCTGACACTAGCGGAGGGCCTGGATCTGTCCCTCACACGGTATTTCAGGCACCCCAGCCGGTGCAGAGGAGCGCCGTTGCTTCCCCCCATCACCATATGGTCCCACCGCAAGTCCCCAGCTGGGCTCTGGGCCCCGCCCGCGCCCCGCCACGGCTGCCGGAGGAGCCCTGCGGAGCGCGGGGGAAGACGAGGCGTCCCCTGCAAC